TCTATTATAAGTATCACATCTGATTGTTCTCTCATATCACATGATTGCTCTATGTTGTCTAATCAGATTGTTCTATAGACACATCTGATTGTTCTATGGTGTAACATTTGATTGTTCTTTGGTGTCACATCTGATTGTTCTATCATGTCTCGTCTGATTGTTCTCTGATGTCACATCTGATTGTTCTATTGTGTCACATCGGATTGTAAAACTTAATTTCATGGTGATGGGATGGTAGAGATTGAGGATCTGTAAGCAACTGTCAAATAGTATTTTGTGCCAAAATGGTAAAAATGTTATGTTTACATCAAATAATGCCTATGGCATTCCACAAACTTCGCAATAAGCACATCCAGTGATGACCATCTCCTGGTGATACTCTTCGTGATGATCCTGAATAAATCTCATTACCTGAATATAGTGTTACAGCATTACATTTGACAAGCATAAGCCTGCAAATAGACACTAGGATTCCCATAGGGTTCAGACAGGGAGCCATTAAGCTGATTACCATCAGTAATGTTTTGTGATATATTGAATAAAGTGGCCCAATCTTTGCTGTATCATTTCTGTCCTAGATCAAGAACAAACTCTGTCATAAACAGATGCCTCAAACATGATTCATGATTAACATTTCAATAACTGTAGGGACCCAAGGGAGGGGTATGTCCTGGAACATTTCTTAGAGAGTTTTCTTTCACAACCACTTCTTCAAAACGTATGAAACATTTTCTCTGAAGGAATATTTTTCTTCAGGACATTCAGTATCACAATTGAACAATCTTGTACATTCAGTTTAATTCTCTGGAAAGAGAAGCTGAAAATTTTTGTTATTTCAACATCCATCATGTCCAGCTTTGTTTCATTTGAAAAAGTTGTTTTGGGTTAGAGACAGCTTGGGGGATATTTCTAAGGTAGAAGATCTATGTTTGATCTCACTCACTCACTCACTCACTCACTCACTCACTCACTCACTCACTCACTCACTCACTCACCCAAACACCCACCCACTCACTCACTCACTCACTCACTCACTCACTCACTCACTCACTCACTCACTCACTCACTCACTCACTCACCCACCCACTCACTCACTCACTCACTCACTCACTCACTCACTCACTCACTCACTCACTCACCCACCCACCCACCCACCCACTCACTCACTCACTCACTCACTCACTCACTCACTCACCCATGTACTACCTTACAAAACAATGGCATTCCTGGCCAATATCTATCCCTAGTCCCCAGGCTTATTGTGAGAGTCGACTGGTGAGGATTGTCACGAGGTGTAACCTATCTCATTGTGTGTCATAATATTTGATGTTTAGACACCTCCTCCATGTTCTAGTGAATAGAGCGTCACGGAGAATTGAAGATTGGTGGTTCAATCCCCGGTCCAGGTCAAACCAATAAATAAAAGCGACAAAACCCTTTCCACATTCATAAGAAATCTCTGTCAAAAACAGACATAAAAATATGGTACTTCTTGTTACCCTGTCTGGCGTAGGCATTAAGGGGATAAAATACAGAATGGTCGGCTCAGAGTCAGTATACTGTGTCTGAGTGGGGTATTCATGTTAAACTGCAGCATGGTATCTCAGTGGGCTAGCACTGTAAAACCAGAATTAGACCGAACCGTACAAGCAGCCACACTCAAACAATTTGGATTAATATATATACTACTCAAACTAACTTCAAGACCAACAGAGTTTTTCATATGACTTTAGTCATGGCTGGAGGGTATTGCATCACACAGCCTTCCAATTGTAGGTGTTCCTTGACTTGTTTTGAGTAGTATACTTATTTATTGTCAGAGTTCATCTTGTCTATAAAAAACAGAACCGCTTCCGTGGTCTAGAGAGGGGTTCAATCCCCGGCCACTTCATACCAAAAGACGTTAAAAGATGGTACTTGTTGTTACCCTGTCTGGCGCTCAGCATTAAGGGGCTAAAACAAGGACTGGTCGGCTCAGAGTCAGTATACTGTGTCTGAGTGGGGTATTCATGTTAAACTGCGGCATGGTATCTCAGTGAGCTAGCACTATAAATCGGCATCAGTCCGGACTATTACAAGCAGCCACACAAGCACACACACGTACATGCACGCCGCTATATAAGTGAAATAATCTTGGACGCGACGTTAAACCCCATTTCACCTCACCTATAAAAAACGGAAATTCGTGACCTGTTTTGCTCAACGTTTCGGTAGTCCTCATTATGTAACCAGCAGTATAGGCAGCCATATATTTGTAAACACCGAGTTCAATGTCTTAAAATGAGTTAGCATGTGCCAAGGATGTGTTCTTTTGGGGCTGTCTGCAGTATTACTTTCTGTCTATTGTTGTACCTGCTGTCTTGAGACTGAAGAAATGTAAATCACCTTAAGATATTTGTTTGTTAGCTTGTATTTTGCACTCAGCAATATTCCAGCCATCGTACGTTACCATGTAGATACTGTAAATTATCAAATTAACGCATCACCAAATTAATATGAGTGTTAAAACCTGGCCAAAATGCATCAAGGGTCTTTTCCTTGTTATAATATTATAAGTTGTAGTATTATCCCGAGGGGTACATGAGGTTTTGTGTGTTCCACGTTAGGTTTAAAACCCCATGTACGATGAGTGATCCTGCTACAACAAATTTATCAAACCGGCATGTTTTAACTTGACATTGTAAAAGAATTAAAACAAATTCAAAGTTGATAGAAAACAGCTGTTCCATTGAGTGGGCATAAACAACAGCTGTTACAGCTGTTTCTTTTTGTATGAGTCAGGACATTTAGATAAACATGTGTCATGAAATGTTTAACTTTCATGGAGAAAATATCCTAAAATGTTAAAAACTATTTGCATATTCATCCTCCAGGTTTGGTCATCGAAGCCCTCCGCAAAGCTAGCGATGTTCAGTCACTTTGATGTGTCTTGTAATTCACCTCACTGTCACTGTTGTAGTAGTATATCTATATACTTATGCAGAACAAATCACACCAAAAAGGCTTGCATTTGGCCTGTCTGTCCTTATTTCAGAATAAGTGCGTTTGTTTACAAACAGGAGGAAAGTCCGGTCACGTGATAAGCCAACACCCGCGATCTGGTCACTGGAGCAGAAACGGAATAAGACGAGCCGAGCCGAATATGCTCGGGTGTTATTGTTGATTGTTTATAAACAAAGCTTTATGCCGATTGTTTACAAACAAAGCTTTATGCTGATTGTTTACAAGCAAAGCTTCATGCCGATTGTTTACAAACAAAGCTTCATGCCGATTGTTTACAAGCAAAGCTTCATGCCAATTGTTTACAAACAAAGCTTCATGCCGATTGTTTACAAACAAAGCTTCATACTGATTGTTTTGAGTGACAAACAAAGCTTCATGCCGATTGTTTATGAACAAAGCTTCATGCCAATTGTTTACAAACAAAGCTTTATGCCGATTGTTTACAAACAAAGCTTCATGCTGATTGTTTATGAACAAAGCTTCATGCTGATTGTTTACGAACAAGGCTTCATGCCAATTGTTTACAAACAAAGCTTTATGCTGATTGTTTACAAGCAAAGCTTCATGCTGATTGTTTACAAACAAAGCTTCATGCCGATTGTTTACAAACAAAGCTTCATGCCGATTGTTTACAAACAAAGCTTTATGCCGATTGTTTACAAACAAAGCTTCATGCCGATTGTTTACAAACAAAGCTTTATGCCGATTGTTTACAAACAAAGATTCAGAACAGTCAGCGCACTGTCGCTTTAAGTGTCTCTGGTTACAGCTGGAGTATTGCGAGATGCGATGAAACCCACACATCAGTGTTCCGATTAATGATGCCTCCACTTCTGGGATTCATCTTGGAATCAAAACTAATTGTCTATGGCAGCTAAACTGGGGGAAAAATTAATTTGTTCCAAATCAGGATTTTTTTATAGTTCTTATTAAATTGGTATTTGTTTTGAAGTTCTCCTTTTCTTAATTTCACAGATATTTTAACATCATATTTTAAAATTGCATTCGATGCAATAATGTGAAATTATGCATTAAACGGTCTTCCTCCATAGTGGTGTGTGTGTGTGTGTGTGTGTCTTATCGTGGGTTGAAGAGTTTTAATGTTTTTTCCCCAACACAAAGACGTTACTGTGAGCATGTAACACCGGAAATACCATGTCAACAAATCCGTACTGAAGTACGCAAACTAATCATGTAATTACACTGTCTAGTTATAAAAAGAGTTCATTATATATCTGGACTGATGTTTGAAATCTATTTTATTAATTTTATTCAAAACTTCATTCAATACTGTTTATATTCATTTCGGCGAAGTGAAGTGATCGGAAGATCGCGCAACTCACCAAAGGCTTGTACAGAGGGGTCGCCTTATACATGGTGTCGCTTTATAGACAGCGATATACGATATATTATTTTGATTTAGGATATTGTAGTTCCCATTTGGTCATTTCGACTGACATTTGCTGCAGGTTTGGGGTTGAATATCGTCCTCTGTGCAGGTCTGGTATATGCGGGGTGGTCGGGTAGCCTAGTGGTTAAAGTGTTCGCTCGTCACGCCGAAGACCCGGGTTCGATTCCCGACATGGGTACAATGTGTGAAGCCCATTTCTGGTGTCCCCCGCCGTGATATTGCTGGAATATTGCTAAAACCATACTCACTCACTCTGGTATATGCCTACATAGGTTGTTAAACCTTGAATCATGGTGTGCATCTGGAGATCATATCTCATAGCTTTGCTGACATCTCTGCTCTGTTAAATTAATCAGCCCTGTTTAGTTCTTGTGTGACAATTCCGACCGCATACTTCCCACCTTCTTACATCAACCGCATTACCTTGCATCCAATGATCACCTAACATTCTGGTAGAGACATTGAAGATCCTTCCCAGGAAACACAACAACGACCGATGGGAAGACAGAGTTATGAGCAATTAGCACCGCAACACAAACAAATGACATACCCAGACATGAGAACATGCATATATACAGGCACCTACCAGAGTGCAGCTCGTGCAGCTCGTCCACTGCTACCAGAGCGGTTGGTGTCTTCACCATGAGGCTGTGCTCTCGACACTTCCAGGGGCAATCTGCTCTCAAGCCTTACAATCATGTCCACAGGAACGTCAAGTGTTAAATTTGTCCGCCACCCACTTTTCTCGCGATACAAGTAATGCAATTACAGAATTAATCTCAGGAGAGCTGGCTTTATCATTGACTCTCTATACTCTTCGGTTTTCTAAAGGCAAGAAGCTCATCTAGAAACCGGCGCTATTAAGGAACCATCTTCTTCCTCAAGTCCTCAAATCAATGAACGCCCCTATCTAATGAAGCTCGAACAAAGTACAAAGATCCTTAAAGATCAAGAAATAGGTATGTGCTAAATTGGCCCTTTTCAGTCAACCTCTCAGTAGTGGTGAAATAAAAGCGCAATTTCGGCCAACATAACGGCCTTATCATGAGCACTTGTGGTCGTTTCGGCCATATTCTGCCCTGTGAGTGCTATACGGAGCTATATTACATGACTAGTTGCAATATAACCTAATGGGGCTGTGTGATATACAGGAATTCCTTGGCGCCAATGGAAATGGTCAAAGGGATGGTATGCATGGATTAGGAACATCTGCATTTTGACAAGGAACCATTTTATCATCCTATTCAAAGGATTTCCTGGGTTTTTTTACCTCATAGCTGTGTGTGGTACGGAAGAAATATTCATGGCAACTGCACAGGGACTATGAAAATTCTTCAGATAATTCATTTTTACCTATTAGCACTTGGCTGTTATGACTACATCATGGCTTGTTTTAGCATATTTTTTCAGTTATAATCACTGATACTTATGCCATGAGTTTGGAAAATACTTGACTCTGATTAGTCAGAGGTTTTAAATCAACATAAATACCTCTGATTGAAACTACTACCTTTGGCGCTTCACAATGGAGGATAATATTTATAGAAAAGCACATTATTCTCAGTCATTGTCAACAGGCATTTTGAAACTGTATTTACAAATTTAGGTTATCAAAGCAGAATTGGAGTTACTACAAAACTCGAGTATGTTTGTCAATACATTTACGGCAAATAACATGTCAGAAATTGTTTGAAAGAATGTAATTCAAATGTTAGTTATATAACATATTCCACACAACTGTACAGTGTGAGCTAATTAAGTTTAAACTGTACATGAGTTGTCAGGGTAACACTGTCTTTAGTGTCCATACTTGATATTTGTCCAGATACTCATAGGTAACGAAGTGTCACATAATTGTTTATTGTTACCAATTACCTAAACTGTTCTTTGTGAAAGTTTTTATTTAAAGCAATGACTTTTATGAGCTATAAATACATTGCAAATGATTCTATGCCATTTGATTGGCAAATCAAGCAGAACCTTTTGGCATTGATGTCTCCATAAATGGATAAAACATAGGACACGCCCACTGACGATCTACTGTTTCCTGATTGGCTGATAGTAGAATGGGTGAGGCTTGTGTGAGACTGAATGATGTCCATTCTTAGCCTAATTTTATTTGATTTATGGAGATATTAACGCAAACAAAATTTCTTGGTTAGCCAATCAAATGCCATGGTATCTCTTGTTATGTAAGTGAGTGAGTGAGTATGGTTTTACGCCGCTTTTAGCAATATTCCAGCAATATCACAGTGCGGGACACCAGAAATGGGCTTCACACGTACCCAAGTTGGGAATGGAACCCGGGTCTTTGGCGTGACGAGAGAACGCTTTAAACACAAGGCTACCCTTGTAATGTTTTTAATAGAGATTACAATCATGAGCATTTTATTACCTGGATTGCGGTACGAGTTACTTATTATGATGATTTAACAAGGCTCTCTACTGTCTTACCGTAGAGATTTGTTACAGTGTATCAATTAACATCTAGACCCTAATACCCGACTAGACCCTAATACCCAACTAGACCCTAAAACCTGACTAGACCCTAATACCCGACTAGACCCTAATACCCAACTAGACCCTTATACCCAACTAGACCCTAATACCCGACTAGACCCTAATACCCAGCTAGACCCCAATAACCGACTAGACCCTGATACCTGACTAGACCCCAATACCCAACTAGACCCTAATACCCAGCTAGACCCTTATACCCAACTAGAAACTAATACCCAACTAGACCCAAACACCCAGCTTGACCCTAATACCTGACTAGACCCTAATACCCAACTAGACCCTTATACCCAACTAGACCCTAATACCCAACTAGACCCAAACACCCAGCTTGACCCTAATACCTGACTAGACCCTAATACCCATCTAGACCCTACTACCCATCTAGACCCCAATACCCGACTAGACCCCAATACCCGACTAGACCCTACTACCCAACTAGACCCTAATACCTGACTAGACCCTAATACCAACTAGACCCAAATACCTGACTAGACCCCAAAACCAGACTAGACCCTAATACCCATCTAGACCCTAATACCTGACTAGACCCTAATACCTGACTAGACCCCAATACCCGACTAGACCCTGATACCTGACTAGACCCTACTACCCAACTAGACCCTAATACCTGACTAGACCCAAATACCTGACTAGACCCCAAAACCCGACTAGACCCTAATACCCAACTAGACTCTAATACCTGACTAGACCCTAATACCTGACTAGACCCCAATACCCGACTAGAATCTGATACCTGACTAGACCCTACTACCCAACTAGACCCTAATACCTGACTAGACCCTAATACCTGACTAGACCCTAATACCTGACTAGACCCCAATACCCGACTAGAATCTGATACCTGACTAGACCCTACTACCCAACTAGACCCTAATACCTGACTAGACCCTAATACCAACTAGACCCAAATACCTGACTAGACCCCAAAACCCGACTAGACCCTAATACATGACAAGACCCTAATACCTGACTAGACCCTAATACCTGACTAGACCCTACTACCCATATAGACCCTAATACCTGACTAGACCCTAATACCTGACTAGACCCTAATACCTGACTAGACCCTACTAACCATCTAGACCCTAATACCTGACTAGACCCTAATACCTGACTAGACCCTAATACCCGACTAGACCCTAATACCTGACTAGACCATCATAGCATTCGCTCTGATGAAAATGTTTTCAAGCAAATGGAGTATAGTATCATTCTTTTAAACCACAGAGATGAGTTAGTGCAAGGCAGCATTTGATGTGAAGTTTTGAGAGACATATAACAGATTTAAAAGTGAGTTTAAATGGTACAATCGACAGATATAAATGAAAGATTTTGATTTGAAAAAAACAAAACCATATGCCTTGTTGTAAAGAAGTGATGCTGTCGGCATGAAGTATCTTTAAGAGCTGCTGGAAGTATCGGTAGATAAAAATGAATATTTTATCAGCTGTCATTCATGCTCACAGCCCCAAAACAACCTGATGAAATATGTTTTCATGTTTATTTTGAATGATACTTGAGAATGTTTTACGGACTATCTTGACATTTATAGAACATCAAATGAAGGAAAAACAAACTCTTGATGAAGAATATTGTAGTCATGTGCTACAAACAGCGTAACAGTGGATATTCCATGTCATGCTTGAACAAGGTGACTGAAGGGGATTTGGTGTGTACAATGTGTGACTGGAGGGGATTGGGTGGGTACAATGTGTGACTGGAGGGAATTGGGTGGATACAATGTGTGACTGGAGGGGATTGGGTGGATACAGTGTGTGACTGGAGGGGATTGGGTGGATACAGTGTGTGACTGGAGGGGATTGGGCGGATACAGTGTGTGACTGGAGGGGATTGGGTGGATACAGTGTGTGGCTGGAGGGGATTGGGTGGATACAGTGTGTGGCTGGAGGGGATTGGGCGGATACAGTGTGTGACTGGAGGGGATTGGGTGGATACAGTGTGTGGCTGGAGGGGATTGGGTGGATACAGTGTGTGACTGGAGGGGATTGGGTGGATACAGAGTGTGACTGGAGGGGATTGGGTGGATACAGTGTGTGACTGGAGGGGATTGGGTGTGTTCAGTGTGTGACTGGAGGGGATTGGGTGGGTACAATGTGTGACAGGAGGGGATTGGGTTGGTACAGTGTGTGACTGGAGGGGATTGGGTGGATACAGTGTGTGACTGGAGGGGATTGGGCGGATACAGTGTGTGACTGGAGGGGATTGGGTGGATACAGTGTGTGACTGGAGGGGATTGGGTGGATACAGTGTGTGTGACAGGAGGGGATTGGGTGTGTTCAGTGTGTGACTGGAGGGGATTGGGTGGATACAATGTGTGACTGGAGGGGATTGGGTGGATACAGTGTGTGACTGGAGGGGGTTGGGTGTGTTCAGTGTGTGACTGGAGGGGATTGGGTGGATACAATGTGTGACTGGAGGGGATTGGGTGGATACAATGTGTGACTGGAGGGGATTGGGTGGATACAGTGTGTGACTGGAGGGGATTGGGTGGATACAGTGTGTGACTGGAGGGGATTGGGTTGGTACAGTGTGTGACTGGAGGGGATTGGGTGGATACAGTGTGTGACTGGAGGGGATTGGGTTGGTACAATGTGTGACTGGCGGGGATCCGGTGGATTGACTGTGTGACTGGAGGGGATTGGGTGGATACAGTGTGTGACTGAAGGGGATTGGGTGGATACAGTGCGTTAGACTGGAGGGGATTGGGTGGATACAGTGTGTGACTGGAGGGGATTGGGCGGATACAGTGTGTGGCTGGAGGGGATTGGGTGGATACAGTGTGTGGCTGGAGGGGATTGGGTGTGTACAGTGTGTGACTGGAGGGGATTGGGTGGGTACAATGTGTGACTGGAGGGGATTGGGTTGGTACAATGTGTGGCTGGAGGGGATTGGGTGGATACAGTGTGTGGCTGGAGGGGATTGGGTGTGTACAGTGTGTGACTGGAGGGGATTGGATGGATACAATGTGTGACTGGAGGGGATTTGGTTGGTACAATGTGTGACTGGAGGGGATTGGGTGGATACAATGTGTGACTGGAGGGGATTGGGTGGATACAATGTGTGACTGGAGGGGATTGGGTGGGTACAATGTGTGACTGGAGGGGATTGTGTGGATACAATGTGTGACAGGAGGGGAT